CTAATGAGCGTGATCTAGTTTGACGTGTTCTAGTTTGGTTTTGCAGTGGTCTAGTTGGACTGAGCTGTCATTATGAACTCGTTATGTGGTGGGGAATTTGAGTCTGATATTAACATGTTGCATTCGAATAAAGCTGAAAATACACAACGCTAGGGATCCCAGTGATTTGAGCACTTTACAAATCCAGTCACACTTTCAAAGAAGGGAACCTTAATGCAATGTAGAAACAACTTGAAATGTTTGTCAGTTGTTTTACTGTTGTGATGTATTCAGATAATAATAGTAATTTTCAGGTTTCAGTCACCGCTCATCCGGATTATTTATGAGCATCAGCAGGGCAAAGTAAAGAAAGACAAGACCAAGAAAACACTTTTGATTGAAAACAGCTCTCAGAAAACATTTGCACAGATCATAAGTGAACACAGACCAGGACTATTACAGAAGCTAACCATTAAAAACATGTTCGTTACTTGAAATAAAATAAACGTTAACTGAAATAAAATAATACTGAGATTAAAAAATTAATAATAAAAATGACAAAAAAGACAAAATTACTAAAAATGCAACTAAAATGAAAATAGGAAAAAACTGATTCAAAATATGAATAAAAACTATATTGGTACCTCGATACTAAATGACACTGACACAAACCAAATGTGAAACAAAATAGATTTATCCGACAGTCCATATCTGTACAAATGCCTTTGAATGTTACATTTGTTATGTTTTCTGAAGCTGTGGATCAGCATGGCCTCTGTGTTCATGCGTTTCATTATTTGAGATCTAATGATCATTCATAAATATAAACAGATAAATAGTATTCAGTTTGGTTGGATTTAAAATCATCCAACAGTGTGAATGGAAAGTGGAGTAAAGGTTAAACATTTCGCACGGGACATGGATCATCCCATCAGCTCTGGGAGGCCGTGTCACGAAATCAATGCTGCTGCTTTGGGAGCTTTTGGAAAATCCCCTGAGCAGGAATCTGGAGTGCTTCTGAGTACCTGCCTCGGTTTGGCATTGGCCTCGCCATCACTGCGTCTCTGTCTGTGTGGTTTCTGTCTGACTGCTGGACTAGAGTTCAGACTTTAAATAGCCAGTGTGAGGAAAAAGCTTCAGGGACGAGTCCCATCACATCAGTTTAGAACACTTTAGTGGTGTGATTGTAGGGGTGTAACGGTAAACTAATGACACTGTTCACAGTTTTAGAGCCACGGTTGGGTTCTGTTTGCTGTGGAGGTTAATAATAATAACAATAATTGCTCTCTGTTAGTCCATGTTAATTAAAGCATTAACAAATGTGACCCTGGAGCACAAACCCAGTCTTAAGTGTCAGTTTTTCATCAGCTGAAAGCTGAATAAATAATCTTTCCATTGATGTATGGTTTGTTAGGATAGGACAATATTTGGCTGAGATGCAACTATTTGAAAATCTGGAATCTGAGGGTGCAAAACAATCTAAATATTGAGAAAATCATCTTTAAAGCTGTCCAAATTAAGTTCTTAGCAATACATATTACTAATAAAAAATTAAGTTTTGATATATTTAGAGTAGGAGATTTACAAAATATCTTAATGGAACATGATCTTTACTTAATATCCTAATGATTTTTGGCATAAAAGAGAAATCTATAATTTTGACTCATACAATGTATTGTTGGCTATTGCTACAAATATACCCCAGCGACTTAACACTGCATTTGTGCTGCAGGGCCACTAATGAGACTTTAAAAGTTGTTGCTTTGTAAAGTGTTCCCAAAAAATCTATTGCCTTAAATTAAAATAAATAATACCTCAATAATGCAAACAAGTCATTGGACTTAGGCTACATATAAAAATGCATGTGCCATGGATAAATAAAATGGAATAGCCGGGCAATAAGGAAATAATTTCAATCAAATATGTAATAACTCAATCTGACACTGAGCTGTTTGAGAGGCAGCTGTGTGCTTTGGCTGCGAGCACGCTTTAGGATGGGTTAAAAATAAAATAGCTTGAATGTTTGGATTCAACCTACATGCTATAGTGCATAAATGTAATGTTTGTGGGATTTTCCCGCGTTATAATCGCAAAACCTGCGGGAATGTGTAGAATTACGCACAATGGCCGCAATCCCGGCACGAAATTCAGGCCCTGGTTTTATTGCACAAGATCAAGCACAAGTGAACTTGAACTAAGTTGCGTGGTCAGAATGTGTGACTCCTTCTGTGACGCGCTGAAAACATCAGCTAGACCCTAAGAATTCACAACATTGTTATAATAGTGCTCTCATTATGACGTCCCAGTCATAGTTATTAATGTTCTGCATTGTTGTTTGTGCTGCTCGCGCTGTAGAGATAATCACTGTATAGGAGGCCTACAATGAAGCGCTTCTGCAGCGTAACTCAACCAAATGCATCTTATATGAGATAAATACATATACACATAATGTACACGATATACATATATAAAGAAAATATTGCAGATTACAGTTCCATTGTTACACCCCTACATGATTGCATTAACAAAATTACACAAAACAAACTCCTGTTACGCAACAGTAGAGAATGCCACTTGCAACACCAGGGTCATGGGTTCAATTCCCAGGGAATGCATGAACTGATCAAGTGTAAACCATGAATGCAATGTAAGTCAGTTTGGATAAAAGCGTCTGCCAAATACATGAATTTAAATAATGACGGGGGAAAAAAGTATAATATAAAAATAACAGTTCTGCTGTTCTACTTGACAATCGAGCAGATATGAAGTCTCTCCAGGAGCCTAGATTAGTGTGTGTGTCGCTCTTCGGCTCGTAGGGTTCGCTCTCAGTGTCATGATGATCTGACCTCTGAACACCTGCAGCGCTGGAGCGATCCGACAGTCTTCTGAACCCCGAGCCGTGGAAAGTTTCCGTGTGTCTGCACTGTATGAGCCTCATGCACGCCCACGGTTCACTCTCGCTATGAGTGTGATCAGATCTGCGCTCACTCTTGTGTAATTGGTCATTAGTGAAATGAAAGGCTTTCACATTTTCATTCAGTCGGGAGATTTTGGGATTATCCCATGATGGATGAAGCCGCTAACGTTGTCTTGTTTCTAACGTGTTAGCAGTTATGCAATGTGTTTCACATTTTGACTCATGGATGAGGGAATCTCAATCATCTTTAGCGTCCTACGCTCCACTTTACTTAAAGGGGTCATATGATGCTGCTAAAAAGAACATTGTTTTGTGTATTTGGTGTAATGAAATGTGTTTATGCGGTTTAAGGTTAAAAAAACACATTATTTTCCACATACTGTACATTATTGTTTCTCCTCTAAACGCGCCGATTTTTACAAAGCTCATCGGTCTAAAAAGCGAGGTGTGCTGTGATTGGCCAGCTATCCAGTGCGTTGTGATTGGCCGAATACCTCAAGCGTGTGACGGAAATGTTACGCCCCTCACCATACTGTGATGATGCCGTGTCCGGCCGGAGCGACGAGACAAAAACATTAAAACCCATTATAAACGAGGCATTTGTTGCATCCAGTGGGGACATAATTACTGATTATAATGACTTACACTGTCTTTTTACGCTTTGTATCGCGCTGCGTAAACATAAAACCATGTCTGCATTTGTGATTGGAGAAATGACAAACAAGCCCTACTCTACACTGCCCAAAACTCTCCGCTTTAAATATATAAAATATAAAAACTCTTTAAATATAAAAAACGTACTTACAGTCTG